ACAATTTTGACACAAATTCTAATCGAGCTTAAAGTCCGAGTAAAAAGTGGATTGGTTAGTACAAACAAGAAATTTCTATCTAAATTATGCTGTATTTTTTTCAATCACTGATATGTAAAACACAGAAGTGTACCTACGTCGTAAAACAGATATCAGTACACACTCCTCACCACCAGTTAAACAATAAACATCAATTAGTGTAAACATAATCGAGGCTTTCTGACAAAAATAATCACGGAAATAGTTGCAGATGAAAATGACAGTTTACAATACTTTTGGTCTCGTTAGTCGTTACACAATTTCCTAAACTGTAAACAAAATCAGTACCTGTCGAAATACGAAAGTTTTGCGCAAAATCCTATCGATTTCCAGACCACTCAAGGGAAATGTCTCTGTTTCCCCGACCAAATCATCACTAAATGTATCATCTTCCATCAGTGTAATATCTGAGGAAGAGAAAACCAAAACCAAGTTGATGATTAAGAAGACAGTGAAAGAAAAGAGAAATCTTCCGTTCTTAAAGTTTAAAATCAGTTCCATCTGCAGGAAGTTGTACTCACATAAAACGTTTTCCAACTCTTTGTCAATGAGAAACTTGAATTCCTTGTTCCAAACAGGGTTTTTAGAGTTGGATACCGTCTGTGTTTTCTTCCGTCCATTCGGAGCAGTAGGGATAAATAACTTTACATATGGATCTGGTGTGTCGACTAGAAAAAAAGCACAGATCGATAAATGATCCATTCACTTACTAGTCAGTCAGTTAAAATCAGTGAGTCAGCAAGTCAGTGCGTCAGCTGGTCAATCAGAGATCCAGTGAGTAAGTCTGGGAGTCAGTGAGTCAGCCAGTGTGTCTGCAAGTCGGACAGTAAGTAATGAGCCTGAGAGTCAGTGAGTTAGTCAGTGAGTGAGATAGTGCGTTAATGAGCCAGTGGATTAGTTTGGCACTAAGTCGGTCAGTTAGTTTGTCAGACAGTGAGTTGGTGAGTTAGTGAATCAGTAAGTGAGTCAATGAGTGTGTGAGTCAGCGAGTCGGTCAGTTAGGAAGTCAATCAGTAAGTAATTGAGTTAGTGAGTCAGCCAGGGAGATAATGAGTCAGTAAGTCAGTGAGTTAGTAAGTCAGTTAGCTTGTTTGGAAGTCAGTGAGTCAGTAAGTAAGTTATTTAGTTAGAGTGCGGGACTTAATAAGTCGATTCTGTTTGTTCTCAGCTAAACTACTCGGCCTGATGTTGACTCACAGGTGTCATTCCAGGCGCCAAGTGTGATGTTTCTTCCACACACGACGTTGACGATGAGTTCATAACATTGGCGGTAGGAGCACTGGAACTAGTAAAAGAATTACACTGAGTAAGTATAGGGAAAACCTCTTGACATTTTAATTGCAATTAGGGTTCAAACAAGTTTTGCTACCCTTTTACCTTTGGCCGATTGTGCGAGCCAAGACCTATTGGGCGAAAGCCACGCCCAAAAAGGGCAAATTTTGAGCTATAGAGCGACGGAATGTCTGAAATTTCCGTAATGCTGAATACTTTAGTTTTGAAAATCGTTTCTTGGCGAATTTCCGGTGCAGCCATAGACAAAAATACAGGCATCTCCTGACATATGGTTGGATTTGATAAACCTCTCTTTGTTATAGAGCGACAGCTTTTGCGCAATAAATATGTATTTAGATCCTTTGGCATGTTGAATCCTTTTGATAGAAATCAGCCAAAAATTTTTCACGCGTTTGTGTAAATGGTAATAGGATCACAGGTTTTGCAATCGGCCCGAGGCCTTTTGACTGTTCTGTGATTATATAATTTATTGGTGACCAAAAAGTCTGCTCCGAAGAATTTCAAATTGCATCCAACCTCAAATTTTCGGAGCCAAATTGTGCAACTGACTCAGTTGCACAATTTGGATACACTTTGAAAATAATATCGTTTTTTCTCGGACACTGCGATGTCAGGAATTATGATGGCTTTAATGGCATTCCAACTCGATTCATGCGTCTTGCATTGATTCTGTTATGTCAAATTTTTGGCAGAAATGAATGGCAAACTTTGTTTTCAGCAAGTCTGTAACGTTATCCAAATCAGTTGAATCGCGTGATGTCCGTAACTTTTTACGTTTACTTATATAGCTATGTTTAAATTATCCCTTCAAATTTAAGCGGCCATCGCCCTCCAGTCCGTTTACAAATTGTTTGACAACATGATCCGTGTTTCAATCTTCCGCCCCGTGTGGGCGGATTGAAAACAACAACTTTCAACTTTTGAAATTGAATTACCTTTCACAAACATATATTACGAGAATTTCCTCATTTGCATCACGTCGTACGTGCCATGAGTTTATCCAATGCTTTAACCAACTACGGGAACATCTGCGCTATTTCAGTACTAAAGCTCAGACTCATTCGCGAATAACCTTATCCATAAAACCTCTTTAATCAATTTCGAAGTAGCACCAAACCTTTTTTCTCTGTGCATTGAGTGAAAGTTCATCAATAGCTTTTTGCCGAATTTTTATCCGCAAGCGTAATGAAAACTATTAATCTAATATACGCTGACTATTGTTTAAAACTAGTTCACTCAACGAGTTGCCGATCTATACAGGTGTAAATTGAACGAAACGTGTATCGTAATAAGGGTGAAAATGGACTGAACTTCTATGCACCGTTCATTAAAATCTTACCGGAGTTGTTTCCATTCTGTTCTCTGTGATTCTCTTCACCTTTGCAGAAATATAATAAATAGTCCTAGTACTAATGTTTGTCTCTGATTATGAGAAGTAGCTGGAAGGCTGTTTGTTTATATACTATTTGTAGATCCTACTTGCTGAGTCGTACGTGACCGGTGCGGCATTACGTAGTATCAATTTGCGCGTCAGAGCGTGAACCACAATTACCTTTTGAGACCCTTAAGATTAACCCTAGCGACGGAAGTCGAAAACCTCTGTATGAGCCTTTTTTTTCAGTTGCCTATGCAGTTTTGTTTCTAAAATTCAATCCACACTTTGTGTATCACACACAGAATTGTTTGATATTACCCACGTACACAGTAGATATGTTTGACATCTAATTTAAATATTAAATCATGATTCCACTACAATCTTCACAAATTACCACTACAATCTTCACAAATTACCTTTTGCTCGTGGTTCAAGGATGGATAGACATGAATTTTATGGTAAATCACATTTACGCATTTCAACAAATGAAACATTAAACATTTTTGATTGCGACAAGTATCTTAAGTATCTTAAAGATCCTAATTTTCGTTGGTCAAAGCTGTCTGCTATATTATTATTATTTAACAAAAAAATAAACAATTTGAATCATCGAGTAGAACTTTACTCGTGAGAGCGTTTATTAAATCATACAAGGAAACTTATTCTTTGTTAGTGTTTTATGAGCCGATATCTTGGTGTGCAATGATAATTATATTTTTTGCAGCGGCCCTTCAAGACGATTTCGCTGTGACGAAATGGCTGACGCTCTAAATGTAAGATTAAGAAACTCTCTACAGTGGCCAATTTACATGTTCAACTCCGTTGATAAAACCGCGTTTTCTCGAATGTAAACGAGAGAAGTACGCAAGACAAAGGTCTCGTATTTTTCAAAGCTTTTTAATGAGCGAAGGAAGCGCGTGATCCCTGCAGATGACGAACAGGTGCTATCAGTTCGTGACGTTTTGTGACGTAAAATACACCGAAAGCCAGTTCAATCGGTAGCGCACGAGACCCCAAACAAAGTAAGTACTGAAACAAACGTGATCGTTACTACTTTTGCAGACCTTATCAGTATAATCGAAGATAAAGGGAGTGATTTCACTAGATGAGGGTCATAGTATAACACACGATTTCACTGAGATTACAAGGTCCATGATCTCTACCGTTCCCAATACGACCTGACACTGCTCATCACGTTTTGCTTCCTTTTTAATATCGAAGTCACGTATCTTTTTTTCCTGAAGTAAATATTCTCATAGAAACAATAGTCTTCGGATCAACGCCAGTATCTTAGCAACTGTGCACTTACCCCTCCCCTAACCCAACATAAGGCCCAATTTGCGATAAGGTGACTTTTGTTGGATTAGGGAAGGGGTAGGTGCGCAGTTGCTAAGATACTGTGACATGGATCCAAATCTTTTTTAAAATTTGCCGCATGGAAGTGGCAAATGTAAACTCGCCTTGAGAGACTTGAGCGTCGTCCATAATATTACAATAGAAAGAAATGGATTGGTCTTCTACCATAAAAGATAAGAAGTCAGGATAGAGCTTTGGTCGTTCAGCGATAAAGTTTTCCATAAAATATGCATTAAACCAGTGGCTTACTGGCTCATGACATTTATGACGAAAATACAATTCATGTAACGCAATACTACCATTGCTAAGGAAGAGACTCTGATAAGAAGACTTCTCTAAATTCAAACTATCTTAGGCAAGAAAGATTCCTATAACATCTTTTTCCTAACCCCATGAAGATGAATGAGGGCAAGGAGAGTAATTTTGATGGGTGATGATTTAAAAGGATTTTTTTTCACAAATTCGCTATCTTTTCATTATTAGTATTCATAAGTAAGATCTATGATTACAGAGTACAATAACAAGCGAACCCTCGCCGTTAAGATAAAATCTAGCTAAAACTACTTCGATCGGAAAAACATAAAAATAAGAACAAAACAAATAATGATAAAAAAAAAAGACACCAAACTGAGACAAAACAAACCGAAAACAAAAACGTAGGCAATCGTGCCATAAACCACAACAAATGGATGTTATTAAATTCCCCACGCGATATTTGCGCCTGCAATATGTCCGGTGGCTTCCGGAAAATCGCAAATTCTTGATTATATGCGATACAGTTGTATTAGGTCAATATCCTGACAACTATAAGATGTACTATTCCAAAAGTTCGAGCGTTTCTTTAAACCACAAAAATTTCAAACATTTGCAAACTGCTTAACCAAATCCCATTGACCCTCTCCTCAGAGAGTGAAAGAGAGAAAGAGACACAGTCGAAATCTACTTTCAACTTCCTTTGAAAGGAAATGTGTAATTATCGCGGAAGACATACTAGTTTGAATTGTTTCTGTTCTCACGTACTCACGAGCTCGTCGAGAGGACAAGGGGTAATCACGTAGAACAACTCCATAGAAAAAACCTGTCGGCTGACAGTCGGCGCACTGTTGGCCGACTGACGACCGATAGGCTTTTTCAGGGAGTTGTTGTTCACAATTACCCCACTTTCGGTCTTCTCTGAAAACTGATTAAACAACTGGTCTGATGGAAAAGCAGTTATGAACATCACTTCACGGATTAAATACGAACCAACAAAATGACGAGCTTCCAGTTGGTAGAGCACTGCACCGGTATCGCAGAGGTGATGGGTTCAACTCCCGTACAGGCCTGAAATGTTTTTTTCATATGATATTCATATATCCACAGTCATTCAGAATAGAATGCTCTGAACAAGTTTTTCTTGAGGTTTAATTGTAGCTACATTCCACATAAAAGGAAATCTTGGATAAGGGAGTACAAACCCACTGAATAGTTCTTTTCACAAGAGATGATCAGCAAACAAGATATGGCTGCATAATAACAATTGATTAAAAACAGGAAGGAAGGGAAAAAAGGAGTTTTTTCCAAAAAAATTGCCAATCACTGGTTTGATATCAGTCCACGTAATCAACAATTCACCTTAGAGCTGTCAAAAGACATATTATAGTTAAGAATATTTTCTAAGAATCCTTTACAGTTTATTTCTCATTTATCTTATTGATAGATGAAGTGGTTTTTTTTCATCCTCTTTAAATCTTAACAATTTGTGTGGCAGTTTGAAGTTGCTCCAAACAATTTTGCCTGTTATGATCTCAACACTCAGAATGGAAATTGACATTTGCTTACTGGCGGTGTTAAATTTTGTTCTTAGCATTATTAGCCTATTTCTGGTGACAACATTCTACTCACAATCAAGTAATGGCAGTTACTGAGATGTTTACATTAAATTCAACTGGAGTGCTTGATTTGTTGAGAGGTAGAGCACAGAACTGCCTCGGCACATTCCCACAGCAGAATATGTCTATTGATAATGCAGATGACATGCATGTTTTTTTCCAGTGTTCTTTTCCTGTGTATAACTTGCCATTTAGTCCCACTTGCTTTTCACACGTCCATGGTTATGTACCGATGTTGAAACTGTCTGTTTTTCTTCTCCAAAATTCATGTAACCCAGGAACAATACACAGCCAGCAAGTGCAACTGAACCTCCAATCATGATCACTTTGTTCTAGATTTAAGAATGAAGAAAATAAAATCATGCAATGCTTTCCTTCTAACAATGCTTCTATAAATAAAATGATAATCATTTCTTGTTTCAAATAATCAATCCTCTATGTAAGGTACATAAGTACCTGACAGGAATATTCATTTTCTTTGATTTTAATGTCTATAATACTTAGGTTTCACAACTTTAAGAATGTTAGTAGTCATACATATTTATTGAAAAAAAAGATATATAGACAGGAAGTTAACACAACAAATGGTGATGCAAAATTTTATTGAACATTACAGACATTAGCACTTGACAAAATTTTAGGCAAATTGAAGCAATGAGGCCTCTTTCTTACATTTCACTTTGTTTCCTCTGTGTTTACAGGTATCCTATCGCTAAATCAGCCTGAATGGTCGGCAAACCAGTTAACCCTTTAACTCCAAAGATCTGATTATTAACCCTTTACACACTAACATCTGTGTGTATATTCTCCATACTGTCATACATACATTTCCTAAGGTGCTGACAAAGAGAATCTGTTTAATAATCAAGAGCTTGTTAATTTATTTTTTTTATTTTTTCCTCACTCTCATGACCTTAATGAGTGATTTAGTGGTGATATTGTAAGGAGAAAATAGATGCTAGTCACTCTTAGGGGTTAAAGGGTTAATTCTTCCCTACAGCTGTGACACTTTTCATTGTAAAATAGTCACAGGGCTTTGGTGTTAGATCAAGATAACAACTTCAACCTTTAAGGAGAAGTTACACAATAATCACATCCGGGAGTTCAGATATGTAGCAATTATTGTAGGTGTTTGTTCACTGGGGAATTAGGAAGCTGCACGAGGAAGTGTGGAAGAGTGAATAGGGATGGTTTTCATAGAGCTTAACGGATGAGTCATTATTTACTAACTTAATGAAATAGATAACATAAATCTAAGTCAGTCCGAGAGTGATCTCTGAAGTTTATTGCTTTACCATTGAATCAAATAAAATGAGAATAAACCTAGGATACTCACAGGTTTGATAAATAACTCCGGATTGATCAATCGAAATGCAAGTGTGGATTGTCTTGCAGATTTCTTTTCTGTTGAAGACGCCATCTTGTTTACAAATATACTTCTTGTGAGGAACTGGATACCAACATTAGTGTCCAGTTTCTTTGGATAGAATGGAACGCCTGATTGTTATTGCATAGTGGCAAGTGGAGGGGAACTTTTATTCTAAAGCTTACCATCGTGGTTTAAATTAAATTCACAGGTTATAGGAATACTATACAGCTGCACACGAATACGCAAAGCTTTAAAATTTTCCACTAAATAGAATTAAAAAGGATGCTTTAGAGTAAACTCGAGGCTCAACCAAGTGGCTTCCAGGTACTGTGGTCATGTCCTTTTCATCAAACTCAGTCGAAAAAAAAACAAAACGTCAACGAAACGCATATTTCAGCTTTGACGATGACGCCGTGGTGGTGACAGGGTGGTGGTGACTGTTGGTGACAGAGGTGGTGACTGTTGGTGACAGAGGTGGTGACAGTGGACAGGCTCTCTCACCTTTTTTCTGTCCCCCTTACCCCCTTTATCCATTTGACTGACTGACTACTGATTGACCGACTGACATAAGGACTAACTGACTGCCTGACGAATTAGTCACGGTTTGCCTGACGATCTGACTAACTAATTGACCGAAGTTGCACCGATAGGAATTTTTAACAGCTACAGATAATTCGTTTATAGATAAATAATCTATAAACGAACTGAAGCCTTTGCAATTTCATAGCCTGCACATATGGTTGTTGTCGAATTTCAGTAAAGCTTTTTTTTATCGTCGCAAATAATTTCATTTCTGAGAACAAAGGAAACAAATCTTTGCGGAATCAATCAAATTGACCAGACTGACTCACTAAAGAGTTGAATGTTCCTTCCATTTCTATCACTGTAATTCGTGATTGTAATGTTTAACGAGCGGCTTTTAACGTTGCCTCTAACTGAAGATACCTGTCACACTTGTCAGACCTGTCAGTTAATCCTCTCAATCCCGAGGTCCAATAGCCAATTCTCATCAATGTCACCATACATTTCTTATTCTCACGATAACCCCTTATTGATGTTTCCTTTCTTCTCATCTCCTTCGGCCTTTGAAAGTGTATTGGTATTGTATGACTGAAAATTGTAGCGGAAAAGATGACCACAGCTTACTTCCCCGGTTTCCCTGTAACTCACTTTATCTAGGTGACTGTAATTATATGTCATTACTGTTAATACATAGTACAGTGTGATTAAACTCGTTGATTTCCGTCGAGAGCGCGAGATTGTTCTTTGTTCTATTTCCAGCCTTGTAAGCATTGCCGATTGTAAAATGCTTGAATACCTTTAGAATAAGTGACTCGCCTTCTTTAGGATACAGACGTTTATCTTCTCTGAGAATTGCAAAATTTATCTCGGACGTTTAGCCAATATTTATTCACGGAAATGCTTGCTTGTGGCTCCCAATATCTGGTTAGTAATGAGAAAAACCGTACGACTAACTACGACTTTTGTTTCTTCTTTCAAGACTCATCATCTGAAAACGGTAAAATGCATAATTTTCGTGTGTTCTTAATACATTCTTCTCATTCGTGAAAGGCATTGATTATCTGCTGTTTGTATCCAGTAACCTTTGACAAAATACAAAAATGTCGAGCGACTTTATTAAACATATGAATCAATTCTTCATTTTACGTCATTTTGAGGTTTGTATTTCTACAGTCCATCCAGAAGTTGTCGTGCTTTTGGTCCAGCTTTACTGGCAAAGAAATAAGCTGGTTTTTCAAGTCCAAGACCATGGAGATATCGAGCATATTCCGTATAGACTGCGTGTACCAGGGCAGCTGATATCAGTGTGTTAAGGACATATTCTAAGCAGTAAGATTTTGTTTTAACATGTCTCACGCCTTAAGCGAGACCTACAGGAGACAGAACGGCTGCCTCAAGTCTTCACAACCTATTATCCAAACCTTTTCCCTCATGCATAAACAGCAGAGTTTATATCGATTACCGTGACATAAATTACCATCCGTTCCGTTAAGTATCCGTTCTCCACCTGGTTGCGACGCTAGTTAATCCCAGGTAATCAGCCCTTACCCCACCCCCCTGCAATTCCGTTTTGTAGCCTTTCCGAGTACTTTTGCAGAAGAGTTACTCTCAAAAGGCCAGAACACATTAATCCTGGCGAGCGCTAAAACATCGTCGAATTATGCAATCAAACCCTTTTTTTGAGAGCGCTCCGTCGAACAACGTATTTCAAGAGGATACTGTTCTTTTCGTCTGATGGCGAAAGAAAGCCGTATTCTTGGCAGGCTTCGGCAAACATTGCTGCTCGGTCAAAGTAACGCATGCTGAAAATGAACAAAAATGTAATTTTGATGACTATTAAATACTTAAAAAACTCTGGAGTAAAACTTTCAGTTCTTGTTCATACCTATAGAGCATATCAAGCGCCTTGTAGAACTTTCCCAAGGACAGTAGCACCAAAACAGCTTTGCTCTGTTAGAGAAAGGGAATCAACAGAAACTTTGATTAAAACAAATAGCAAACTTGCCCTTGCAAAAATTTGTCCATGAACAGTTTATTAGAGACAATTTCTCAGAGGCACCAGAGACTGTTCTTTGCAATAAGTTCTACAAAGTAAAGCTACTTCTTTAGGGAAAAGATTACGATTACAATGGAAAAAAGGTCCAAAAAAATATTTGTAAAATACAACGGGTAAAACATGTAAATATCTTTCCTTACACTATTGGCCTAAACATGTCGCAAACTGGGGAATATCGTATGATCGCTCTCATTTTGATTCGCCATGTACCATTTTTAGGCTGTTTGCATGCTAGAGGAAAATATCTAGTTTGTCAATGATATTTACGGGTGTCGCTAATTTAGTATTTGTTGTGATTTTCTTTGTTCTATCCTGACCTGTTGACTGGTGTGTGTACTGGAGAGATGTTCAATCCATCTTCTAACCACCTCTGCACAGTCTGGATAGCTCAGAGTTGCCTGCAATAACATGCACAATGGGACCTTGATTGAAAAACAAAAAAACCAAACCAAAACAAAAAAAAAACCCCAAAAAATCGAAAAAAAAAAAAACTGCAGTGCTAATCGAATATTTGCTGAAATCGCGAAAGTAATCCGAGATTACTTTGTCTTTGCTTCACCTCGCTCTGTGTTTGGTCCAGAAACTGGCGCCATCCTCTCAACCAATCAAACGTAAAAGGAGGACCAAACGTGGTTTGGTCACCCGCGTTTTCCCGCGCTTTTGTTAGTTTGTCCGTTTTTACTATGAGTTTTCCTTGGCTAATGTTGATGTTATCCTTCTTTATGATTATCCAATTTTTCGACAGTCAACTGCATGGTTCTCTTATACGAACAACATATATGCGTAAGAGAGGTATCGATACCTAAATCTTACTAATTTTATAACTCACCTTACAGTAAAGGTTATTACGATATAAATAACAAACATTTTCGCATTTTGGTTGAGAGGATGGCGCGCGCTTCCCAGATGTAGTAACGTAAGACCAATGGAATCCCAGGCTGCAATCGACACTGATTAAATATGCCCTATTTTGCGGTTTTCCAAGAAAGGAAAAGTGGTGACTTAACAGAGAAACACTGAAGGAGAACAGGAAATTGTTCAGAGGGCGAAGATATTACCTTTGCTAGCCACGCAGCCCTATCCCATTCGCCATATGTCTGAAGATAACGGCAGGCATCCAGTCCCTTGTCAATCAAACAGAGGAGCTGAACTCCCTCTGTACACAATAACAAAAAAAAGATTCATTATGAACCCGCTCAATATCGGCAGCTACGTTGCACATGCCCGTTAATTGCCACGATAATGCTCACCTGCAAGTTTACCACTAGCGATGAGATTTGTGGCCACAAGTTTGATGGTGCTCTGTGAAGCACCCGACGAACGAATCGTGGCCACAAGACAGGCCCTATGGAGGAAAAGGATGAGAGGTAATAAAAGGGAATAAAAGCGTAGGAACCTTTTGATCAAATGCCGTGAAACAAATTCAAAGTGGTCACAAAGGCCAATCAGAACTATGGTAACACGATGAACCAATCAGAACTCAAAGGAAATGTATGTAAAAGGCCTAAAGCGCGGGAAAACGCTAGACTTAATTGTCGTGATTGGTTTAAGTTTTGCATCTAATTGGCTGAGAAGGTGGCGCGAGTTTTCTTGACCAATCAGAGCAAAGTACATCAAAACTAATGCAAATTCAGTGAACTTGCGACAAATAAATGTACTATCACCGAACTCAGTCCCCGAGTCAAATTTTGTTACCAAGTAAATTTATTGAGCAAAAAATTGATGTTCAAGAATACCTTAGAGAGTCCACATAATAGTTATCATTGGCGGAATCTGTCTCGAGGAACAACTGCACTGCTCTGTCTGCCTGTAACAAAATCGTGTAAAAAGTAAATAAATAAAAAAAATAATGTAGCGAAGTTAAGGCAATAATTGTATCATTAAGCCCTCCTTCCTGGCGAAAATCTCTTGGGGCTGACCACAGCCCAAACGTTCAAGGCTTGCCTATTACAAAGCGAACTACAGGAAATGGACCTTACAGAATATGCCTGTTTTTTTTTTCACGTACAAAGGGGGAGAGCTGAGCTGTAAAGAAGAACTGAATTTACCATACTTTATCGAAATTGAAACTGTAACAATCTATAGATCAAGCTTTACTTGCCATTTTCATCAACAAAAACATAGTTTGATGAGTACACAAAATAAATCAAAAGTCAAACTGTGTTCGTACTTGTCCCAAGAGCACCAGAGTATCGGCACATTTTTTCGTATGTTCATATGTGGATCGTTTGCTGTCATGCAGAGCGAGTCGGTCCAACTGACTCCTCTGAGAAAAGATCAAAAGATGCAATGGTTAAAAAACTGAATCATTACAAGGAAAAGCCATACCTAAAGTGAAGAGAAGTACTACATGACTTTGCGTACTCCTCTTTCCAAACAGAGTCACCAAAGAAATACTCGGAAGAATTTTAAGGATTTTTCTGTACAACTAGAAGACGCCTATGATTGTTTAAACTTCCCAAAGAGTCTTCCTGTTTTTTTCCGAAACGGAAAATGCAGCGCTTTTCTTTGTTGTTGATTTCTTAAATTTGGCTACTAGAATCCAAACAATATCTTTCATGATTTAAAACCACTCTGGTGAAATTTTTACAAAACACAGAAACAAGCCTTTCCTTTTGAACTGGTCGTTCTGGAAGGTGGTTGGTGTGGGCTGATTGACTGCAGGCGCCATGAGTGACCGTGGTTTTCCAGTAAGTAGAGGGGAAAGGAGTAGAGTTACAGCCTTGTTGGAGCAGGTGTAAGGAAGCACATTGTTTATTTACTTACTAAAGAGTCGACTCACCTGGAATGCATCAGTGTCACTAAGAATGTCATAACAAGTGTCGAGGGAGACTGGGTAGCAGCAACAGGTTTCG